CTTGTCCCAGGAAATATAAGTTCCCTCTCGTCCTGCCTCTTGGGGGAGTAGGACTCCCTCTCGCCCTACACCTTGCAGTAGGATCCTTCTCTAATCCAGCCCTCTCCACACTCCTTGTAGCATCCCCACCCCCACTTTCCCCACACGGTATGACCCCTCTCTTGCCCCACCCCTTGTAGCACCCCATCCCCCACCTCCTTCCTCCGTTCTCCTTCCCCCCAAACCCCTCTCTCGCCGGCCCCTTGCCTCAGGCCCTGTCTGAGGCCCAAATCCCTCGTTAGCGTCCACCTTATATCTAGGTGGGTCTTTGTGCCCGACAGTCTGGGCTGGTCTAAACTATGCTGGACTAGTTCAGGCTGTGTCCTGACAGTTCTAGGCCTGCACCTGACCTGCATTTATGAGGTGCCATGACCAATAAGGTCAAGGTGGACCCAGAACAAGAACTTGTCCTCAGAGGTTACACCCAGGGTCAGACTGCCAGGGAGTGGGCACTTCAGGGTCCATTTAGGCAGGGGTGGAGGGATGATGTTTTCCCAGGCCCACGTGGGGCCATTTCATACTATCTAGTTTCCTAACCTTTGTGGTTCTGCCCTGACAGTGGGCTGAGATAAAAATACAGTGTTTGTTTCTGCTGTAAATAAATAAATCCATACCAATTCTACCCACAGAGTATGAAAAATCCTTGGCAATTGCCTCCAAAGGGCATCTAAGATGCTACTGCTTCCCTAAGGGAGACAAGCCACCCTATGATACCTCCTCCTCAGCTGTTACCCTTGCTGGCTGCAAAGCCAAGGCCCTGTACAGGTCCGATGTGAAGGAGAGGCTGTGATGAAGTGTTATCAGGGACAGTGACCACTGCTGCATCTGTTACAACCGACCTCCTTGCCAGTTAGGAGGCACTGCCACCGGCCTAGTCGCCATACCACATGCTCTGTCCCCTGCAGAGCCTGGTCCCTCCCCAGAGCCGTGGAAATTAGGGATAAGATCTCACAGGAACCACATGGGGATGCACATGGTCCTCAGCTCCATCCATTTTCACAGGTCTGCCCTGGCCTCTTCATGGGATTCTAGCTCTAAGCACAACACATTGAACTCTAAATCCTCACTGAGGCCCTTCACTGCTGGCCTTCCTAGTCCCCTTATAAACCTGAACTTTTTTACTGACCCTGTCTCAGGTGCCCTTCAGACCCCCACAATTGCATCCTCATTTCCTCTTTACATCCTCTGGGCCAATGGCCAGCTCTATGAGGCCTTGTGTGTCAGAGCCCTGCATGTCCAGGATGAAGTATACACAACTGCGTGCTGCCCAGCCCAAGGGACAGATGCCAGAGAGAGTCCAGATTCTTTCAGATGTGTGTCTGAAACACAGAGCACTGCCAAATAGGGATCCCTTGAACGCTAGGGGAGCTGAAGGGAAGTGAAGGAGCTGGACTCACCAAGGACCGACTCAACAGTGTTGCTCGTGGGGTCAAGCAGGAGGCCTCGAGCATCCAGGGTGGACAGTGCCGTCGGAGAGGAGCTGCCTGAGCCAGTGCTGGAGCCAGTGCTGGAGGTGAGGGGACGGACCACAGCCAGCACTGTAAGGTGGTTCTGCCCAAAAACAGATGGGGACCAAAACAACTATGAGATATGATCTCACCCCAGTAAGAAAAGCAAAATTTAACAGAGCGGCAAACAACAAATGCTGGCGAGGTTGTGGAGAAACTGGAACCCTTATTCACGGTTGGTGGGAGTGTAAAATGGTGCAACCACTGTGGAAAGCTGTATGGCGCTTTCTCAAAAAGTTGCAAATAGAGATACCATTTGACCCAGCAATTCCACTACTGGGAATATACCCTAAAGAAACCATAACTGACACCCAAGCAGACATATGCACACCCATGTTTATTGCGGCCTTGTTTACAATAGCAGAGTTGAAAACAACCTAAGTGCCCATCAACAAACGAATGGATAGAGAAGATGTGATATATACACACAATGGAGTACTATTCTGCATTGAAAACCAGGAACTCATGCAATATTATTCAAAATGGGTGACCCTGGAGGACATTATGCTGAGTGAAATATCTCAGTCACAAAAGGACAAATACTGCATAATGCCACTGTTGTAGAATGGGACTGACATCAGGGTTGTGATGAGACTGAAAAAAATTGAATAGATTATGTATACTGCATTAAAGCAGATGAGGGAGAGAAGAGCTTAAAAGCAATATATGATTGGATATTATGGTTAAGACGGGAGTCCAGAATGAAGGTTGCACAGTGGAGTGTACTGGGGAGTGGGGAAGGGGAGGACTGTATACCAATGAAGGAATTTTTCTTTGACTTTTCAGAGAAAGGAGCTAACTTGTGGGGAGGGTGGGCAGGAAGAAAATGCAACAATGAATTAATGGAAATCTAAAATTATTGTAAAACCAAAATTATTGTAAATGTTCATTCAAATTAATAATAATTAAAAAAACCCAGATGGGGACCATGAGCCTGACTGAGCCACCCCACACACAACAGTAAAATCCTGCCTGATCCTGTGCATGCTCACAACCTCTGCTGCGCTTGAACTCTGTGTTGCAGTCACTGAAGTCCATCTCTCTGAAGGTCTTTCTTTCCATGGCTGACCCTCTACTTTGCCAAGCTGATAAGAGGAACAAAGAGACTGGCTCAGGATAGGGCAGGGTTCTGAGCTGCTGCAATTCAAAACAACAAAAGAACCACTAACACACCTGGGAGGCACACACTCACTCCTTAAAAAAGCAAACCACATGAGATCAACAGGGTAGCATTTGCCCAGCGATAACACTCAGATGGCAAGAAGGTAGAGGAATGAAGGACAACATAAATGGGAAACAGAGGGAAGAGCCATGAAGAGTGCTGTTCTATTGTTAAGCACCGCAATCAATGTCACGAAACAAAATGTACCTGAGTAGTTGAATGGAAAATCAGTTTTCTCTGTAAACTTTCAAATTATAACAAAAAGCTTTTTTCTTAAAAAAAAAAGTGCAGACAACTGGCAAAAGACAGAAGTGACCCAAGTGTCCACCAACAAAGCAGAGGGAAACACAATGGAGTTCATTTGTACAGTGGGATAGTACTCAGCCACAAAGAGAAGGGAAGCCTGGTGATGTTAAGGTTAAAGCTGCTAACCAAAGAGTTGAAATATGTCAATTGATATACCATCAATTCCTGGGGCCTTGTTTTTTGCCAATTCTTTCAGAGCAGCTTGAACTTCTTCATCACCACAGGCTCTTGCTCATACGTTGTTTCATGAAATTCTTCTGTGTCTGCCAATTCCTTTTGGTACAATGACTCTGTATACTCTTTTAATGCTTCCTGAATTATTTAATATTTTGCCCAAAGCATCCTTAAGTATTGCAATTTGAGGCTTGAATTTCCTTCAGCTTAAAAAATGCTGAGCAAGTTCGGCCCTTTTGATTTTCTGACTCCAGCGCCTTGCACATTTCATTGTAATACTTTGTCTTCCCCACACTGCCCTTTGGAATCTTCTGTTCAACTCCTTAATATCTTGATTTCTTCCCTTTGCTTTGGCTTCTTGGTGCTCTGGTGCAATATTCAGAGTTTCTTCTGACATCCATCTTGGTCTTTACTTCCTCCTCTGTCTTTGCAATGACCTTTTGCACTCTTCCTGGATATTCTTGATATCCTCCCACAGCTCATCCAGTCTTCACTCATTAGTGTTCAAGGCTGCAAACCTCTTCCTGAGATGGTTTTGAAATTTGGGCGGGATAGACTCAAGGTCAAATTTTGGTTTTCTGTAGACTTAATTTTCCTCAACTGAGAAAAATTTTAATTTGCTGAAACTGATGAGGACCTGAAGCGCTTGCTGCAGAAGGTCAAGGACTGCAGTCTTCAATATGCATTGAAGCTCAACATCAAGAAAACAAAGATTCTCACCACTGGGCTGATTGCCAGCATAATGATGAATGATGAAGAGATTGAGATGGTTAACAGCTTTAGTTTGCTTGACTCTACAATCAACACTATTGGTACCAGCAACCAGAAAATTAAAAGACGGATTACATTGGGAAAGTCTGCTGTCAGAGACCTCTTCAAAGTACTGAAGAGCAACGATGTCAGTCTGGAGACCCAGGTGCCCTTGATACAGGCCTTCATCTTTGCAATTACTTGCTATGCATCAGAAAGCTGGACAATGACTGGGGATGGCAGAAAGAGAACTGATGCCTTTGAGCTGTGGTGCTGGAGAAGAGGATTAAATATACCATGGACTGCTAGAACAAACAAGTTCGTCCTGGAGAGGGTGAAGCCAGGCTGATCCTTGGAGGTAAGGATTGTGAAGCTTCATCTGACATACTTTGGACATTCTGCAAAGCGGGATTGGTGGCTGGAGAGGAACATCATGCTTGGGAGGGTGGAGGAACAGCACAGGAAAGGAAGATCCTCGATGAGATGGACTGATTCAGTGACTGCCCATTAGGGGGTAAGTGTGTCAGAGACAATAGATTGGTACAAGATACAGCAGAGTTTAGGGCTCTTGTACATAGGGTCGCTATGAGTTGCAGGTGACTTGACAGCACATAACAACAACAACAATAAAAGAGTTGGCAGGTGAAACTCACTACACTAGCTGCTCTTTGGGAGCAAGTTGTGGCACTTTGCTTCTATAAATATTTGAACCTTGAAAACCCTCCAGGGCAGCTATACTCCGTTCTACTGGGTAAAGTAAGTAAAAATGGAATGGACTCAATGAGAGTAGGGAAAAAGATTTTTGGTTTATAGATCCAAACTTGGTCTCCTCTTAACCCTTCCCACCTCCTCATTTACCAATCTGGGGCTTCTCTTGGCTCTTTTGACCTCTTCACCCACCAAACCTGGGACCCTCTAGAAACACCCATATCCTCACACCCACATCTGTGCACATGCTTTACATGGGCACAACCTTTACAGTGAGATGGCTTGGACGGTGCCTTGGGGGAGGACTTGCTTAGTCCCAAAAGGAGGGAGCCACCAGGCTGGTCAGGAATGTAGTCATCTCCTTACATGATGTAATCACCTCCATGAGACCTGCTATGATCAGCCAGTTAGCTGTAAGGGAATTGCCATTTGAAGTATGGCCTGCACCCAAAATACAAGGATGTCTGGCAGAGCTCTCTTGCCATTTGTACAAATGGGATCTTGTATCAGACTTATCAGCATCTGACCTCTGGTTCTTTGGACTTGAGCCAGCATCCTGCCATCCAACCTGCTAATCTTGAGTTTCTCAGCTCCTGAAGCTAGTGAGTCAGTGTAACACTTTAGTCTGACTTCTGACTCTCAGACTGAGGACTTGCTAGCCATCTACCATCAATGCCTTTCAATTGTAAAGAAGAATAATGAACATACCATGGAATTCCAAGAGAGCAAACAGGTCTGTCCTGGAGAGCATGAAACTAACTTGCTCCTTGGTGGCAAGGATTTTGAAGCTCTGTCTCCCACACTTTTGGCATGCTGCCAGGAGGGACCAGTCCTTGGAGAAGGACATCATGCTTGGAAGGGTGGAGGTACAGAGAAGTAGAAAAGAAAGACCCTGGATGAGATGGACTGACACAGTATCTGAGGTAATGGGGTGGGTGTGTCAGAGACAGTGAGACTGGCTCAGGATAGAGCAGAATTCAGAGCTACTGTACATAGGTGTGCTATGAGAGTCGCAGGCAACTCAACTGCATATGACAACAAAAAGCACATCAGCCATGTCCTCAAGATAAATCTCTATTTCCACCCACAGAAGCAGCTGTTAAGAAATCAAGAACATGCTGCATTGGGCAAATCTGCTGTCAAAGACCTCTTCAAAAAGCATGCCAGTTTAAAGACTAAGGTGCATCAAGTACAACCAATGGTGGGGTTTTTGTCCCCCAAAGACATTGGTTTTTTTATTGTTCAACTTTCACATGCATAGGAAGCAAATGAAAATAGCATGGCTTTGTTTCTTGCCATGTAGGTATCTTGGCTAAGCCATTCAAGAAGACCAACACTTTGTACATAAAATAAAACTTCAGTTATGATAATGTGAAGAGAGAAAAAAAATAGCATGGCTTGGGTAAGATGCACCTTGGTCTTTAAACTGACATCCTTGCTTTTAAAACATTCACTCACTCACTCATGAGCCACAGCTGCCTCATGTCTCAAACTCTTCAGTGGGTGTTCTGAACCAATGGTTTTTTAAGCTGCTTTTTATGCATGTGCAAGTTGGGATAATAAGAAAGACTAAAGGGCCTAAATTAGTTCAATTCAAGAACTTTTAGAGAATGATCCAAAAAAAAAAAAAGAAAGACTAAAGGACAATCAATGTCTGAGTTGTGTTGTGCTGGTGAAGAGAACTGACAATACCATGGATTGCCAAAAGAACAACCAAGTGTGTCTTAGAAGAAGACCAGCTTCACGAGTTTTGCTTCTTTAGAGAACACAGCTTATGGCAGTGAAGAATACAGATGATACTGAAGATTGCCAGTGGACAAGAGTGGCTGGACATAAAATAAGAACAAAACATACTGTGTGGGAGGCACTGGCTACAAAGTACAGGTCGGTCTGTACCTGTTTGCTGCTGTGCTCATTGGGTTTCTGACTGCCTTCTGAGGGTGAGTCTCTCCGCTTTGCCTGCAACAGAGAAATGTGGGCTTTTAGGAAAAGCTCCTCCTGCCTGGCAGCTCCCATAAGACCATGACTCAGCACACCACAGCTTGTGGGGCCACTGGTCTGGAGAAGAGACAGCGTCTTTTCTGAACATGATCTTGAGAAAGTGATCATGATAAGGACTTCAACTCATAGTCAAATGGTAGGTACAAGTCCAGCAAAAGGAAAGGCTTAGTTAGCCAGCCCTGGGAAGAATGAGGCCAAAACTCTTCCAGAACATTCTAGAATGTTTTAGAAAGTGCAATTGACTCCACCAGGCAAGCTCCCTTCCTCCACCCTCACTGACAATCTTTGCCCTTAAATGTGCAATGAAAATTCAAATGATGGTGAGGGCTGACTGCCAGCTTCCTGTTCTGAGTACTGTCCACTTACGTTTCCTGGGGGGCCGCTGTTGGCTGAGGTGCTGTTGGCAGAGTCAGAATCACGGCAGCTCCAGTCGTTTGAGATTCCAATGCTCTCTGCCAAAAAAAGAGAAAGCAGCTGGCTTTGAGTGGAGGACACCCCTACCAAATCAGGCAGAAAGGCCCATACTGACCTCATTAACTTTTCTGAGAACAGGAGAAGCAAGGACATCTGAAATGCCAGGAAGAAGGGTCCCCAAACATTGTGGCACTTGGACTCTTAATGATTTCTATCACTTAAAAAAAAATCCCACCCAAAATTCTTCATGGAAACAAGAAGAGTTACCTTCCCCATTCAATTAAAAAAACACCAAAAGCTAAAGTAGAAAGCAAGATTTGAGTTTGCTAATAGTTTGGCTAACCTACTACAGAATGTCTGCCTTGAGCACTGTGCTCTTTTAAGAACTACCAATATGGGACAAAGTGATAAGAGCAACTCAAAAGGTTTGATGGGAAGTTTAGGGAGCAGTGAGAGCATGCTAACAGGGAGGAACGATTCCAATGAGGATGGCTGCACAAGTTGAGGACTATAAGCACTGTAGAAACTGCTGAATTGGTCTTTGTGGTGCTGTTTCATCTCAAGTAAAAGCAATGGAAAATTTTTATATACACAGTAGAACGATATGCAACACTAAATAACAAAAACCCACAAAATACCACAAAGCATGGCTGAATCTGGAGGATATTGTGTGTGAGACAATATTGTGTGTCTAAGTGAGACAAGTCAGTCACAAGCAGGGACAAAGACTGGATGAATCCACATTATAAAAAGAATGAGGATAGGCTGACACACAGACAGAATCCTTCTTGGACAGTTGTCAGGAATGGGAGGGGTGTGAGAAGAGAGAAAAAATCGGTACAGATAGTTGTTGTTGTTGTTATGTGCCATCAAGTCGCTTGCGACTCATCACAACCCTATGTACAAAAGCCCTAAACCCTGCTCTATCCTGTGCCAACCTTATTGTCTCTGACATACCTACCCCCATTCCCCCAGTTACTGAATCTATCCATCTCATCGAGGGTCTTCCTCTCTTTTTTTTAAATTTATTATTATTAATTTTAATGAACATTTACGAAGATTTTGGATTTCCATTTATTCATTGTTGCACTTTTCTCCCTGCCCACCCCACCCCCAGTTCACGCTTCCAAATGCCTTCTTCTTGTTGTTTTTCAGTCTTCCTCTCTTGCAATGTCCCTCTATCCTCCCAAACATGAAATCCCTCTACAAGGACCAGTCCCTCCTTATAACATGTCCAAAAGTATAACAGACGAAGCTTCAGAATCCTTGCCTCCAAGGAACAACCCAGTTTCACCCTCTCCAGGATGAACCTGTTTGTTCTCCTGGCAGCCCATGAAGAGTTCAACACTATTCTCCAACACCACAGCTCAAAGGCATCAATTCTCTTTCTATTACCCCTAGTCATTATCCAGCTCTCTGACACATGTGAAGACTATGGCCTGGATCAGGTGCACCTTAAGTCTCCAGACTAACATCATTGCTCTTCAGTACTCTGGAGAGGTTCCTGACAGTTGACTTTCCCAATACAATTAATTTCTTGATTTCCTGGCTGCTGGTACCAAGAATGTTGATTGTGGAGTCAAGCAAACTAAAACTGTTAACAATCTCAATCTCTTCACCATCATAATGATGCTGCCAATTGGCCCAGTGGTGAGAATCATTGTATATGGGTGAAGGGAGCTCTGGAGGCCAAGACGAAGGGTTGTTATTGTTGTTAAGTGGTGTTGTACAGCTAACACAAACATCACACATCTCTGGTGGGTTGAATTAACTTCACCAGCAGCTCCAAGGAGAAAGATGGGTACTGTCCTACCATGTGATTTACAGCTTCAAAAACCCACTGCTGGGAGCTCTAGCTGCCTAGTAGCAAGAAGCTGCACTGCAATCCCGAAGGCATGAAGCTCAAATCTACCAATAATTTCCTCCCAAGCGATTAATTGCCTCTGAAAACTTGCTGGAGGGCCAGCTTTGGGCCAGTTCTGATGCAATGGTACACAACAACAACCACTACAGCAGGGGGTGAAAGAAATGGGAAAGATCCAGTGTGAAAAACAATGAATTTAAACTTTGTAAATAAACCACTGTAACTCTTAAAAAAAAGACAGGTGAAGGGAAAAAACAAAACAAAAAGACAGGTGAAGGGGTAAAGCAATATGTAATAAAGGGGTGGTTAGCACTCTATCACTAAAGAAGGAGAGAAGGATAGGTGCATAAAAAATAAAGTTTGGGAAAGGAGGGAGTGGGGAGTAAAAACTTAAGGACTGAGTGAAGGGAAAGGGAACATAGAATATAGAATAAGAGTTTGATCAGACAATCACATTAGTCAATAGTAGTTAACATTATGTATGAAAAGTCAATAATGTACATCTCCACTCAAATGGAAAAAAAAATTAAAAGATAAAAAGGTTTTTTGCAACTGTACTCATAAAACCTGAGCTCAAACTCAAAACCTCTTAAGTGAAACTCCTCCCCTCCCTCCAGGGATAGCAGAGGCTACGTCATGGGGTGGGAGTGTCACTCCCTCTGGAAATTTTCCGGAGTATATCTTATCATCAGTGTAGCTTTTCCTCTTGGATTAGTGGATATTTTTTCTCTGTATTCTCAATAATGAAAAATTAAATTTAGGGGAAAGAATTTTTTAAAAAGCAGCCTTAGAAATGGTCGCTCACCCCACTCCAACCAGAAGGGTGGTACCACCTTGCAGGTTGGATGTCAGCTGGTGTCTGGGCATGGTTCAGTGAACAGGCATGTGCCAGGTAAGTGTCCAGTAGGCAATGAAGTGGTTGTGGCAAGTAGAGGCTCCAGATGGTCAGCCAGAGCCTGGTCATTTGGCCTAGACTCCTGAAGGCAGGGGGTAGCTCCAGGTTCCATGGTGGCCAGGCCTAGTGGCTCTGGTCCAGGGAGCCCAGTGTCACATATGGTCCTCATCCTCCCACCCAGCAGCCCTCAACAGATCTACTGGCATGTTCAGCTTCACCTCTGCTCTCCAGTCCTATTGCATCATGCTGGAGGGGCTGGGGACACAGATGGTACCTAGCAAGGAACCTGGCCAGTGCCGTGAACTTACTCTCCACATGCGCGAAGGCACAGAAGGGGCCCCGGGGACAGTGGCCAGTCTGACGCATGTCGTTGCATTTCGATGATTTGTAAATCTAGAAATATGAGAAGAGACAGAGGTGTGGTTGGGAATGGGCTCCCCAGGCAGCCCAGCATCCATGCAATGACTCCGGCTTTCAGCCACAATATATACAAGGTCTCTGAAAGGGGCACTGCTGTCCTACTCCTAGCACTGTGTGGAAATGTTTCAAAAAACTGGATTAAAAAGGAAAAAAAAGGAAAAAAACCTATTGATATGCTAACAGATTATACCAAGGTTACTGGATATAAGAGTAATTAACAAAAGTCAATTATTTTTCTATAGACCAGCAATAAGCAACGGGATGCCACTGTGGTTCATGTAACAGGTTCTCACAGCCAGGTACTGCATGAATAAGAATCAGGGTGCAAGTCTGTATATGTACACAGAACTGTGTAGATTGTGATGCCCCGCCCTTGCGCATACCTCAGGATGGAACTGCTGCTCGGTGCGTGAGTGGCAGAACTGGCAGCTGTCCCCACTGTCACACCTCGAGGGCTCACCCCACTCATCTCCATGCTTCACACTGGGGCAGGGTGTGGACCTGGCAGTGGAGGGTTGGGTGGTTACTGAAGCAAAGAAGGGTACTTCTCTGTCCCACAGTGTCAGCCTGTATATCAGGCTACCTTGTACACAAGGGGATCCCTCGCTTCACTGTGGTCAGGGTACATGGGTCCCAGGAAGGATATTGTCTCATCACTCAAAATGTGCCCGTATAAACCCGAGACAGTGCCCAACTGAAAGTGGTCAGAATGGGTGAGGGCATCAAATGGACAATAAATCTGAGTCACCATGCTGCCCCCTTCTGTCAACAAGAACAGGAACTTGGAGAATCAACCAAATCTGCTAAGATTAAGAGAAAGTAAGGCAGAGGGGTCAGGGATGGAGGGAATGAGGTCAGTAGGGAAGACAACATAGGGGGAGGAAGAAGAGGCTGGAGGAGGAGACAAACAGGGGCACGTGACTGGGAAGGAAAAAAACCAAGGTTGCAGGCCAAAAAGGAAGAGAATCCTTACTCAACCCTCACCTGCTATGGTATTTGTGAACTGGGAGAGTGAGGGGGAGGCTCCAGGGCTGAGGAGTGGCCATCACTCATGGTGGGGTGCTTAGGGTCAAGGATGCAGAGAAGCAGAAATGCTTAGGTCAGCAAAGCCCTCTGCCCCTGATGAAGCCTGTGCCAGCAGTAGTAAGACCACACTGCAGGATGAGGAGTGTTGAGACCCAGACTTCCTCCTCTCAGGCTCACCTGTACTGGAACCTGCGGGGGTCCCGTCTCCTGTCACGGCTGTTGTGATAATGTGGACATGCATAGCCCTGGCGGCAGAGCCTCGGCGGCTTTGGGCACTGCTCCGTCTTGTAGCTGCCCAGTACGAAGTTGGTGTCTGCAAAAGAAGGGTCCCCACAGAGCTGGTGTGTGATGTTCTCCATGGCCCCATCCACCCACCAGTGAGAGCTGTCTGCTTCCAGATGAAGGACACAGTGTGATTATCTGCATGGTAGAGTACCTCTCAGCAGGGAAGAGGATAGGGCACAGACATACTTCATTTCACGTCAATCTGCAGGCATAGTATTTTTTACAAATCAAAGTTTTGTGGTGATCATGCATTGAGCAAGTCCACCAGCACCAGCCTCCCCACAGTACGTATCAGTTTGTGTCTTTGTCACATTTTGGTCCTTCTTATCATGTTTCAACATTTTTCCTCATGCTGTTGCACACTTCACAGACAACCAAAAACCAAACCCACTGCTGTGGAGTCAACTTCCACTCACAGAAACCCAGATACCAGTGAGAGGAGACTGCCAATCTATCCTGAGGAGCAGCTGGTGGATTCCAACCACAGACTTCTGTTAGGGACCCAAGACGTAATGCCCTCCACCACCAGGACTCTTTTAACAGATTACAACATAAACATAACTTTTCTATCCACAGGAAACTGGGGGAAAAACAAAACACCCCAACCCCAAAAGCATTCCCTGTGCTTTTTTGCACTCTTTACTCTGTTACCATGGTCTGGAGCTGAGCTCACAGTATTTCCTTGGAGAATCATGTGGAATGGGAGAAGGCAGATAAAAAAGGGTATTAGAGGTCCTAATGTTTATGAAATATCTACAACACAAAAATCCAAAGAGACAGATGGCATTCTAGAAAATCCTAGGGGCTCTGGTGGCATAACAAGTTATGTGTTGAGCTGCTAACTGAAAGACCAGCAATTCGACTTCACCAGTGGGGAAAAAAAGGATAGTCAGCTTTTAAAATATATATATATGGAGCCCAACAACAAGTGAATGGATAGAACAGCTATGGTATAGTCACACAATGGAATACTATGCAGCACTGAAAACAAGGAACTCATAAAATTTTACACAACATAGGTGACCCTGGAGGACATTATGCTGAGTAAAGTATCTCAGACATAAAAAGACAAATACTGCATACCACCACTGTTATAAAACAGGACTGACACAGAGGTTGGGGAAAACTAAGAAAAGAGCAGATAAATAATGCACACTGCATTAGAACAGATGAAGGAAAGAACTATTTAAAAGGAACATATATATGATTAGGCATTATTTGTATGACAATACAACTGTTCAGAATAAGAAGTGCATAGCAAAGTAGATTAGGGGAAGGGTGGGGAGGAAATTATGCAACAAGGAATGAATATTTTAAAATCCAACTTTTCTGTAAACTTTCATTAAAATAAATTTAAAAAAAAAAAGAGAGATAAAAAAATAAACCTGAAAACAAAAAAAATCTATGGACTCAGAATGTCAACAGAGGGTCATTATGGTTTGTAACCAACTTGATGGCAGCGGGTTTTGGTCTTGGGGTTTAGGGGCCAGCGCCTGCCAAATGGCAGCTTAAGGGGTATAGGATTGCCTCTGGGGTGATATCCTGCCATCACCGAATAGAGAAGGTGGCTGCTCAGTGCTGTGAATGAACCAAATGTCACTGAGCTGTGCACTTCCAAGTAGGGAATTTGATATTGAGGAAATCTCACCTCAAAAGCCTCTGAGTAAATTTTAACTCATGGCGACCTTGTGTGTATCATAGTAAAACGGTTTTCACTGACAGAATGCATATTGTCAAACGTGACAACTCTAAGAGTGAACCTCATGTGAACCACAGGCTCTAGTCAGCAATGACGTATCCATACTGGCGCACCAATTGTGATCACAGAAGCAGGACTCAATCCCCCCATGAACTACAAACTGCAGTAACCAATGAAGCATCAGTGATGCTGCTGGGGGCGGGGGGGGGGAGCGGTGTTCTGCTACCCAGGACACAAAACCACCAAGAGGATTTAAAATAAACAGGAGGGGGGAGGGGCAAAATCCTTTCTTAGGTTGGTTAAGAAAGTCAAGTCCTATTTACAGCTGTGGGCCTGAGTGTCTACAGAACAAACAGAAAGGTAAGGGCTGGGAAAAGTGAAAGGGGGAAGACACTAAATCCTGGAGAGTTGGCAAGCATAGTCCCACACACTAGAATTGGAAGGGGAGGTAGTGGGAAGAACAAGTACTTTTGATACATAAGATATTTGTCTTAGTTGAACTGTCAGAAGCCTACAGCATCTGCCCAAGGTACACATCAGCCTCCTGGGCAAAGACAAGTGAGGCTGACCTCATAGCAGGCAGAGGTGCACAAAGGGACTTGAAGGACAAGATAATCGACTGAGAAAATACAAGCTATAAAATGTTTGCTCCCAAGTGTCAACTGAGCAGTCTGGATGCCATTCATCAATTGTATCCACATCTGGAAACCACAGACTCTAGATAAAAATGTACCAGAATCAGGAGGTAAAAGATGGCTGCAGAAGCGGAGGCAGAGACAGCATGGTAAGCTGCGGGAGCAGCAAACCACTTAAAGCAGGGCTGTTATGGCCTTCCACAGACTTCGGCTTATTGATAATTGAACACTTAAACAGTTGATGACTGGCCCTCAGTGAAGATCGAGGCTCGACAACAGGAATTCAAGGATTCCCAAGGAGAAATGGGCCAAAGAAGACGATTACCTATGCATTGGAAAGGCCAAAGAGGACGATTACCTATGCACTGGACAGCCCAAGGAGGAGGATTACCTATGCAATGGATTGCCGAAAGTTACTGTGAGTCTGATGACCTTAACAGTGGCAGCATGCACAAGAGGACCGACATCCTAAATGCACCACATATTTTGTTCTGTTGAATGCTTCTGCCAAAAGATGGTTAGACCTGGGGGGAGTCTGTTCACAATTCTCAGGTTCCCTTTATCATATATAAAGGGGGAGGGCAGTGACACCTACTTCAAAATATAGTATGACCATTTATGGGGGGGTAAAAGTGGCAGTGCTGGAATTGGAAACAATATCCCTGACCACAGAGTCCTCAGTCAGGCGAGGGGACCAGACTGGGGTAGGGGCAATTGGAGGGGGAGTATACCAGCCAGCTCCTGGGGGGTGTTGCCCTGCTCAGGATGGGCTGCCCTTGGCCCCCGGCTTGGGGCGAGCCGTCGCGGCCCTCTGCCCGGGGTGGGCTGCCCTCAGCCTCCGGCTTGGCCCTCTGCCCGGGGCGGGCTGCCCTCGGCCCCCAGCTCGAGGCGAGCCGTCGCAGCCCGGCTCTCTGCCCGGGGCGGGCTGCCCTCAGCCCCTGGCTCGGGGTGGGCTGCCCTCGGCCCTCTGCCCGGGGCGAGCCGTTGCGGCCCTCAGGGTGAGCTCCTCAGTCCCCAGACTGTGCCATCTGACCCCTGGGTGGGGAAGGAGAAGAAAAAAAAAATAAAAGAATGCCTAGGGTATCCAGAGAATGTTACCTAGGCCACCTTCTGCCACCC